GAACATCCGTCTGTCTAACACTTACTATGCGTAGATGTAATACACAATGTGCTTCAAAAATATAACTTATCGTTCTCCATTTTCATAACAAAATAAACTAGACCAAATTTCTGAAATAAAAAAATAAAAATAAAAATAAAAAAAAAACGTATATCCACGATAACTACATACTATATAACAACAGAAAATTGAAAAAGATTTGGAAGCAAAAATAATGGATATCGCAATGCTAAACGATCGAGAAACGATAGACAACTGAGCGATTCTTTGAAAAGCAAAAACAACGGCGACGGCAATACGAACGACGATATATAACAGCGATGAAAGTTAATTTAATCAAAATTACTAATTTGTCCCTCAGTACGCGAATTTCAAACTTTGAGATTAACGGTCAGGATATTTGTACTCATTCAAAACGAACGGCATCCTCGCAACCTCACAACCGCACCTAACAGTGCCACCCGCACCAGAACCCTTGACTATATATATATATATATATATATATATATATATATATATATATATATATATATATATATATATATATATATATATATATATATATATATAGGGAAGGGTTCAGGTGCGGGTATAGCTTCCCGTGCGGTTGTGCGGTTAAATCTGAGCAATTGATCAAATTTAGATCAACGGCTCAAATCAATGAAAATTAAAAAAAAAAAAAAAAAAAAAAAAAAAAAAAGAAAAAAAAGCGCGTGCCTGGAACAAAGAAGTATAAGCTAAGGTGCATCTTAAGTGTTAGATCTTAATCACAAACTCACGCACTTTAAGTACAAAACCAACACACATTAAGCACAACCTCACGCACATTAAGCACAACCTCACGCACATTAAGCACAAAACCCACGCACTTTAGATATTAACTCACAGACTTTAAGTTTCAACAACTATTGACATTAAGTACAAAACTCACACACATTAAGTACAAAACTCACGCACATTAAGCACAAACATCACGCACATTAAGCACAAAACTCACGCACTTTAAGTATTCACTCACAGACTTTAAGTTTTAACAACTATTCACGTTAAGCACATCCCCACGCACATTAAGCACAAACCCCACGCACATTAAGCACAAAACACATGCACATTAAGCACAAAACTCACGCACATTAATCACAGATCCGCTCACCTTAATTTTGACCTAGATGCAAAAATTACAAAATTGCCACCGCGTTTTTTTTAAAAACTTTGATAATCCTGGACGTTGATTAAAGCGAGATGAATGGCTCAGATTAAACCACACAACCGCACCTAAAGCCCTCACCCGCACGAGAACCTAAATCTATATATATATATATATACACACACACACACACACACACACACACACACACACACACACACACACACACACACACACACACACACACACATATATATATATATATATATATATATATATATATATATATATATATATATATATATATATATATATATATATATATATATATATATATATATATATATATATATATATATATATATTTCTGCTTCTTTTGACTTTGGCGCTTATGGTTGGGTTTTAAAATTGCGCTTATACTTTTTTTAGAGCCTCATTTATTTATAAGAACGAGACTACAAAAATCCAAAAACCGGCCATGCCTCCTAAGTAGACTTACATGAGACAATTTCATATGATATGTATAATATTTTTTTAGTTAAAATGTAATACTTTTTTTTTATAAATCTATAAAATAATATTACATTTTAGTTTTTTTTTTTTTTAAAACATTACATGTTTGACGTAAGACGATCTTACACAAGAATTATTCCCACTCCCTTGATGTTCTTCATGGTGGTGTTCAGCCTAGGTTGCATACAATATTGTTTGTGTAACTTATCTCATTTCTCTCATTATTCATTTTTTTTCATCTTCCTTTTCTTTTAGTACTTGCATATATAGTGTCATACTTGCATTATAATGGATTTCTATATGATCTGCCTGAATTTCATAACATAAGACACAAAAAATCATAACACAAGACACATACACATGTTATATATTTACTTATTTTTCAAATCTGATTTAGGTACATAATTTGTGTTCATAGGTACGAAATTTCACAACACACATAAATTCATCATAGCATAAGACACAATTATTAATTATTTGTTCCAGTTACAGAAATCATATTCTTAAAGTACAGAATTTCACAATGCAAGACACAAAAGTCACAATACTAAACACATACACATGAACCATGGTCCACAGTGTCGTGTGAACCCTGGTCCATGGTTTAAGGATTGGGAAAATAAGTAAGAAGGATTCTTGCGGTATAAGAGGAGTTTAATTGTGTTCTCGATCCAATAAAGATTGGTTTCAAACATAAGGTTGTAGACCTTAATTAGTTGAGTAAGAGTGTTTAGTTGCTCTTAAACATTGTTTTAATAGATTAAGTTATCACATGGGGATGTGCTCCAAAATTAAAAAATCCCTCAGTTAGGTTAATATGGTTAGTTATTATTTATTAACTACGAACTGTTAATTTATTATTTCCTGCCCATTTTAAGTATTTGAAAAATCTTTTATAAGTTTTTTGGCTATCAATATAAAGTACTGATTAATAATATTGAGCGCAGTTAAAAGTTTATATGGTTAAATATCGAGCATGTTTTCCTATCAATTTGTATAATGTTTAAGAGTCTATTTGACTTTTTTCCAGAAAATTTTTACTATAAAAAATAGTTGAAAAGTAGCTTCCTTTTTTTTCTTTTCTTTCTAAAGTTTCTAAATTCAAATGTGGTTAGAAAACTTTTCTGGTTGATTACAAAAAGTGATAAAAAATAGTAGGGTTTTCAACAATGTCATGATCCATGAAATTGACCTTGTTATGTGCACTAGATAGTCTACAAGAACTTTTGGGGGCTTGTAAATCGTTATGGTACATTTTGTGATTTACCTCATTTTCACCAAATTTTTAAGGTAAAGTAGCTCATTCAGGTAGGACTCTCACGATTTGGATTCAATTTTTTTTTCTTTAGGAAAAATTAGAGAAAATAATATGGAGAAAAAAAAATTAAGCGAGTGGTTAGTTTTGGCTGCTAATAAAAAGAAATATACTTTATGGAAAAAATAGAATAGGAAAGAAAAGGGGAATCTCAACCAAATATATGGCATTTCCCAAAAGTATTTGGATTTGGTTGTTCCGCTTTCCCAGTATTTTAGTTATTTGGTGCACCTACAATTTTATTGGGGGTTTTCGCCTTCTAGACGAATATCTTCAGGATAAAATTTTTATATTTCTGGAGTGACGAAATTTCTTCACTAGATCTAGATTTGCAAATTCTTAAACCAATATATGCTTCTGGCATAATGGTAGAAATGTTTAGTCCTAGTTGGGGATTTCAACTCTTAAAATATTTTCTATGGACTTAGTCACTCCTTGGAATTTCTACCAGATAATTTGTTCAATGTACGAACTTCTGGTTCTATAAGGCTAGTACATGGGTTTGAAGATTTTTATCAATTTCTCGGCATTTAATTAATTAGAAATTTCAAATCTCCCCTTAATGCCGAGAAAAGATCTTATAATGCAACCAACATCACTGTTGATTTCTTATAATAGGATATAGCTAGAAGGATTGCATACTAAAGAAAATTGAACGCAGCTAGGGAAATGCATCATGTACAAGCGTTTGTGATATGTAGTGGATCATCATATTGATTTTTCAATTTTGAAGGTCCCCAAAAAGACATTTCCTCCAAAATTGCTTAATTTGCTTTCCAAACAAAGCTATATTAAGATTTAGAGCTTTAGTTAAAAAAATATATGATATTGTGTATCTTAAATAAGTGTTTCATGACAATTAGAGAAACAAGTAGAGTACTCAACATACAATGGAGTGAACTCATCAAGATAACATATCATAATTTTTGTCTATTTATCATGCTTTCTAAAAAAAACAATTAAGCATCAATTTGGATGCATAGCAAGGGTGATACTAAACATGTTTTCTTGTGAATCAACAATATGCATACTTCACAGATAAATTATACGCATGCATTCATATTGCAAAATTTTTTTTAGAAAAAACCCTTAACACATTTTTACACCAAATTTTGTAGATATAAAATTCAGCAAGTCTTGAAAGTACATAAAAATTTTCATGTCAATCCAAAGTGTGTAAGTATTTTTCCGAAAATTTTTCAACATTGCTCCAGGCAGAAAAATAATTGGCAGCACACTACCAAAACTTTACAAATTTTTCTGGAATAACCAAAGCATATTTTTAACAAAATCTTTTTATAAAGTATCGTTTTGATAACGTGTTTAAAGGAAAAAATAGAATAGGAAAGAAAAGGGGAATCTCATATTCATTCACTTTACATTCTGTACAATGGTACATTATATACAGGGTACAAGATAATCAATACAATAAATTCCAGAAACCGTTTCGACCATTACAAGAATAAATACTATTAATGTCCATTAATAATATATTTGTAACACCATGATTATTATATCTATTGTTGATGTCATATATAATAGAATATATTGTTAGAATAATGTGCACTTACTCTCTAAAATAGCTTACATTTTCACTTATATATTGATCATGACCACTGCATCATCGGTAAAGTCCTTGTAAGAGTGTATTAAGGTTAGTGAAAAGGTAGAGTACTAAAACCGAAGACCCATCAAATTCTAACTTGTAGCCTTAGTCTAAGTGTACCATACACAAATAAACTAACAAGCAGGAGAAACATATGATATGATGTGAAGTAAGTAGTAGTTGATACTATCCTAGTAGCATCACCTACTAACATTTATTTCAGTTCTCTCAAAAAAAAAAAAAAAAACATTTATTTCAGTTGAAAATTAAGTTGGTTGGAGAATCAGTTGAAGTGAAGTACTGGCATGCATGTAATTAAAGTCAATAATCTTTGGTTGTAAAATTATTATGGGGTATTAGGTAGATAGCTGTTAGCTGATTGAGTTATTGAGTTTGACTAGTTGATAGTATTAGCTGATTATAGAATATATTTGGTAAATTAACTGTTAGCTGATAGCTGATTAAATGCAAAATGACTTTCTCAAAAAGCTTATCGAAAAAGCTACTTTGAGAGCTTTTTGAATTTTAGCATTTTGGAACAATAAATTGTTACAAAAAGCTAATTAATTAATTAAGCACTCATATTGATTGTTTAACCAAGTCAAACAACTAATAGTGATTAAATAAATCAAAATTGATTGATAAGTTAATTTTTCCAAAATTGCCTATATTATAATTCTAATAATGGTTGTAAATTAATTACCTTAGCTTGGGAAGAATAACATAGTAGTGCACCTCGCTCCATGAAACTATGGGTCCTTGCCCATTTCTTAACATCAATATGTACTCTCAAATTTATATAAAGTAACAAATTAAATGTGTATGTTTACTCATCATTTAAAGCTTTTTAAAGTAAAATATATACTTGAATTTGAAGTCCATTATATTCACTACGGGGCCGCCATAAAAATAATTCCACTACTGAGCATGCATCATGATGAAGATGATGAGTCCGACATTCTTTAGGGCATTCATAATTGGTCAAAAGATATATAACATAATAATTGCAAGTAAAGAAGTAGAACTATATTGATATAAATTAAAATAACTGATGGATTTAATTCCCCGGGGGTAGCCCGAATTATTAAACCCGGATAAGTATACGTACGAAATAAATAATGTGACACAGAGATATAATAAGGTCGCGGGGACCGTAGGTCGCAGGGACCGTATATTGTATTAATTATCGCTAATAAGCTATTACAAGGCTTGATTAGGACAATAAGGCTAGAAGATAGCAATTTAGGAATCTATTGTGTTGTGTAATGATCAGGTCCCTTGTTAGAACAAGAGGGAGTCCTTTTATATCAGCTCAAACTCCCCAACCGTACCCCTAGAATCGGGGTTAGTTGGATCGGCCCGCCTTGACCGCGCCCCCCCGGGACCGGGTCCAAGGCGGGCCAACTCGGCATGGCCGAGCTGCCGAGCTCGGCCTAGCCGAGTCCAGCCGACTCGGCAGGGCCGAGCTGCCGAGTCCACCATGGACCGGCCCGCCAGTGGCCGAGTCCATGGTGGTGGGCTCGGGTGTACCGAGCCCACCCGTGGCCGGACTCGGCCCAAAGCCGAGATGCCTTGGGCCGACTCGGCCACGGCCCACTTGACTGGGCCGAGGGGCTTCTCAGGTCCGTCTCTCCGGGTCGGTTCGTTCCGAGTCCAATATATCCATCACGAGTCCCCCACTCTCTTCGTTGTGATAAGTCGACAACGATAGAGAGTAGACACATTGCGAGCTAACTCCCACGCGATTGTCCCGAGTTGATAATTAGCCGACCTCCTGTGACCTCGCTCACCATGACCGAGGCACCTTGGGCCGAGCACGGGGCCCAACCACTATGCCCCGGGTCTATTCCATACTTCCTTGTTCCGCTTTCCCGGGTCGGTTTGCTCCAATCATAATATATCCATCATGAGCGAGACTTCGTCTCTTCCGCATTCCTCTTTGGCCGACTTTGGTGTGACTCGATCGCAATCGGGACTTCTTCTCTTCCGCAAGAACACTAACAAGTCTTGGACTCCCTGACATCGTGTATGAGACTTTGATTTCTGAGTTCACTTTTGGGCGAGCTCATGAGGTAGTCGTCCTCCTCTTGGGTGAGCTCATGAGGTAGCCCCTCTTGGGCCGAGGTGCCTTGTGCCGAGGAGTCTTGGGCCGAGGTTCGTTAATGAAAGAGAGTAAACACGAGTCGCACTCCATGTGTCCGAGCCCCACACGGCCGACCCCAACGTGGCCGACCCCAACGTGACCGACCCCAACGTGGCCGACCCCAACGTGGCCGACCCCAACGTGACCGACCCCAACGTGACCGACCCCAACGTGGCCGACCCCAACGTGGCCGACCCCCCAACGTGGCCGACCCCAACGTGACCGACCCCAACGTGGCCGACCCCCAACGTGGCCGACCCCAACGTGACCGACCCCAACGTGACCGACCCCAACGTGGCCGACCCCAACGTGGCCGACCCCCCAACGTGGCCGATCCCCCAACGTGGCCGACCCCAACGTGACCGACCCCAACGTGGCCGACCCCCCAACATGGCCGACCCCAACGTGACCGATCCCAACATGGCCGACCCCAACGTGGCCGACCCCAACCTCAAGGATTAGACTTGATAGCGGCTTGATTAGCGTCATCCCTTCTTTATCATATGGGTTCCGTCTTCCGCTCTACGGAGAGCATCCATGCTAGCTTGAGTACTTATGTTGAGGGGATGGCTGCTCCTGACGCCCCCGACTTGAATGGCTAGTTCTGAGTTGCTTACTTTTTGTGGCCCTTAGAGCCAAGACTGATTTCTTTTTGTGGCACTTAGAGCCGAAAACTTATGCTTGTTTTGGCTTCATGTGGAGCTTGCTCGTTTTGCTTGAACTCATTGTCCGTATGAACTTCGTATTTCTTCGATTTGATATTGCATTTTCTATCTTGTATGGACTTCTTTGTGTTTTGAAACATGTTAGAACACCTCTTGTTTGCCTTTGTGCTTCCACAAAAGAAGAGAGAACACCTTGGTAGGCCGGGGCCTAGACTCGGGGCTCGGGGCCGATTCGGGACTCGGCCGTAGCCGAGACCCTCGTGGCCGAGTTGCAAGGACTTTGTCGTGGCCGAGTGGGATCTCGGACACGTCCGAGTCTGATTTTTTTTTTATAGCCGTTCGAACCGAGTTCTTTGAACACTAGGCCCGGGGGCTCTTCCGTCATGGTTGGTGCGCGAGGCTGGACCTCGTGCCCCCTTAGGGTATGTTAGCCACGATAGTCGAGTCCTTGTCGGACTAGACCCTGGGGCTCCTCCGTCGGGGTTGGTACGCGAGGTCGGACCTCGTGCCCCCTTAGGGTATGTTAGCCACGATAGTCGAGTCCCTGTTGGACTGGACCCTGGGGCTCCTCCGTCGGGGTTGGTACGCGAGGTCGGACCTCGTGCCCCCTTAGGGTATGTTAGCCACAATAGTCGAGTCCTTGTTGGACTGGACCCTGGGGCTCCTCCGTCGGGGTTGGTACGCGAGGTCGAACCTCGTGCCCCCTTAGGGTATGTTAGCCACGATAGTCGAGTCCTTGTTCGACTGGACCCTGGGGCTCCTCCGTCGGGGTTGGTATGCGAGGTCGGACCTCGTGCCCCCTTAGGGTATGTTAGCCACGATAGTCGAGTCCTTGTTGGATTGGACCCTGGGGCTCCTCCGTCGGGGTTGGTACGTGAGGTCGGACCTCGTGCCCCCTTAGGGTATGTTCGGGGAAGTCGGGTACAAAAACTCCTTCCTTCGCGATGGGTGAACAAGAAAAGGTGTTTCTTTTTACATAACTTTATTCTGTTCATAGCAACGGAGGGGGCCTGCCGCCTCCTATGACATTATTTGCAAAACACTAATGGAGATGGCGCTAACTCCGTACGGTCGAGTTGGTCTGCGGTGGATCACTGGTAATACCTCAACAAATGCTCCGAGTTCCAAACTCTAGGTATCTCCTTCCCTTTGGGGTTCTTGAGTTTGTAGCTGCCGGGACGGACCACCGCTGCCACAATGTAGGGGCCCTCCCAGTTTGCCGCGAACTTCCCTCCGGCTTGGGGTTGGCTTGCTTCTCTCCTCCGGAGTACATAGTCCCCTACTTGGAAATAACGGGGTTGCACTCGTTTGTCGTGGTAGGACTTGGTTTGTCGCTGGTAGTTTTCAGCTCGGATAGAAGCTGCCTCTCTTCTATCATCTATCATGTGGAGGTCGGTGCTATGGCGTTCTTCGTTGGTGTCGGGGTCATATTCTTCTTCTCGCCGGGAAGGTATGACCGCCTTCGCTGGGGCTCGGGCTTCAAAGTCGTAAGCTAACGAAAACGGTGTCTCCCCGGTGGCCCTTCTGGGGGTGGTGCGGTAGGCCCATAAGATGGCATCGAGCTCCTCCACCCATGCTCCCCCTGCGGATTCAAGTTTCTTCTTCAGACCGTTTACTATAGTGCGGTTGGCATTCTCCACCTGCCCATTGGCTTGTGGATAGCAAACGGCTACTCGGCTATGGTTGATGCGCCACTCGGCGCAGAAACTCTCGAACTCTTGCGCCTCGAATTGGCGCCCGTTGTCAGTGATGAGTTGCATCGGGACCCCAAATCGACACAAAATGTCCTGGTAGACAAACTGTTTGCACCGGGCACTTGTGATGCTTGCCAGCGGCTTTGCCTCTACCCATTTGGTAAAGTAGTCGACAGCCACTATGAGGTACTTTCTTTTGCCCGACCCCATAGGCAGCGCTCCTACTATGTCCACCCCCCACCTGGAGAAGGGGATGACCGAGCTGATCGGGGTGTAGTTCGTGGCGGGTCGGTCGGGGCCGACCTGAAAGTGCTGACATGTCTCGCAACTCCTTACGTAGTCGGCACACTCTTTGGCTATTCTCGGCCAAAAGTACCCCTGCAAGATGGCTCGACGGGCCATGGTGAAGGCGCCCTGGTGGGCGGAGCAGGTCCCTTCGTGGATTTCTTCCATGACCGACCTGGCTTCGTCCGGGTACAAACAGCGGAGTAGGGCGCCGTTGTACGACCTCTTATAGAGCGTGTCCCCCATGATGACATATGTGGGGGCACGCCACTTCACTAGCTTGGCATCAACCTCATCAGGAGGTAGCGTACCTATCTGTTTGTACTCCTTGAGGTGGTCCAACCAACAGGGAGGTCGGCTCTGTATGGGTAGGACTGGGTAGAATTCCAGACTCGACCTCTCGAAGTCTTCGACTCGGGCAATTTTTGAGATGTGCTCCGGGGCCCCCTGGCTGAACTTGGACAACATGTCGGCATCCGTGTTTTGGACTCGGGGTACCTGTAGGACTTCATAGTATATTAGCTGGCCCAGGAGCTGGAGCACCACATCCCGGTACCTCCTCATCCTCTCGTCACTTGCCTCGAACTCTCCTGTGACTTGGCCCACTACCAGCCTAGAGTCACATCGGATCTTGAGCTTTTCGACCC